TAGACATAAGTAACATTTTAATAAAACTTTTTTTTAATAGGTAAATTATATTAATAGATTCAACTAACTTATCAATTGCATGTATTTTTTTTATAAGCAATATATTTGAATATTTTGCACTAATTAAAACATGTAATTAAATAAAAAAAAATAAAAAAAATTATATGATCAAATATGAATATAATCAACACTATCATAAATATAAATGGCCAGATATTAACTTGAAAATAAGAGACAAAAATATTAAATTTTAAAAAATCTTATTAAACCAACTAAATGGTGTGCATTTGAAGATTGAAAATTTCACTTATTAACCTTTAAAAAGGAATTTATGATCGTTAAACTAATAGATCAAAAATATTAATTTAAAAAATAATTAATATATCAGTTCGGCCTATTTTCACCCCTTATACATATTGAAAATATAAATAAAAAATGGTAATTTCTATATCAAATATTTATATATACGAGAACTACTTTAATATTGATTTAAATATTTTTATAAATAATGTCAAAACAAAAATAATATTTATATACTAGAAAAAATACATTGTTAATTTATATATTTTTATATACAAAAAAAAATACTATTATTATAAACGGACACTCGGACACAACTTTATTTTTGATTCAAATATTTTTATATATGGGAACAACCTTACTATTGATTTAATTTTTTTATAAATAGTGTCAAAACAAAATGAATATTTATATACGAGAAAAAATACATTGTTGATTAAAATATTTTTATGTAGAGGAGAAAATATAATTGTTATAAACAAGAACAACTTTATTATTGATTCAAATATATTTTTATAAATATTGTCAACAAAAATTATATTTTAATTTAAATATTTTTATAAATAGGAACAACTTTACTATTGACTAAAATATATTTATAAATAAAGTCAAAACAAAAATAATATTTATATACGCAAAACAATATATTGTTGATTAAAATATTTTTATATACGAAAACAAATACTATTCTTATAAACGGGATCAACTTTATTACTAATTCAAATATTGAATAACAGAAATTTATTGATCATTGTATTATCTCTTATAATATAATTGTCTTATTTGTTAAAAAAATTTAAACATTTCATTTATCTAATACAAGTTTCAATATTTTTTTAATCATATTATTATTGATATTGTTGCTTACCTCTCATCTCTTATATTTAATAATTATTCTAATTTTTTTTAATATATAATTTTATTTAAATATTTTGTGAGACAAATTTGTGTCATTCATAAATATTAAAAAATACTAAAAAAAATTTTGTTGATTTAAATATTTTTATATAGATTCAAATATATAAGTAATATCAAAATAAATTTAATATTTATATACGGGATCAAATTCGTTATTGATTATAGACACTAATTTATTATATCTTTTAAAAATAATAATTTTTTTGATTGAAAATTTTAATTTTTTAAATTTAATTTTTATTATGATTTGTAAAGCATACTGTACAAATGCATGGATTTTCCACTAGTTAATAAGGACTTACAACATAGTACACATGTCAATGCCATCCATATTTTTTTTAAATAGAAAAAACTTTAATTTTTTTTTATAAATCTATTTAATTAAAAAGGTTAAGCCTTATGCTATAAAAAAACCTTTTAAACTTATTAGACAAATTTATTTAAATAAGTATGAATAACTTTATTATTATTATTATTATTATTATTATTATTATTATTATTATTATTATTATTATTATTATTATTATTATTGTTATTTTACATTTTGTATCATGAATTAAAATACAAAATAACACTTACTTATTTTTAAAAACATATAAAATAAGCTAAAAACACCTTATAAACAATGTTATAAGTGATTTTTATAAATTTTCTTATATATAATCTCACAAAACTTGTGTTAAGATGTAAGCTCATATATGTTAATGCAAACAAACTTTTAATTTTAATAGTTTTTTAGTTTGTTAGTCTATTATAATATTATTTGAATTGTTTATTTGCATATGTATAAATAAAATAAACTTTTAAGTAGACTAACATGTCAATTAAACATTGAAAAATATCATATTCAGACATAAAAATATATTTATCGCATACTATAAACTTGATTATTTTTATTAGATAAACTTGACAAAATCGAACTCGAACCAACTCATTTCAATTTATACATAACTATGTTCTAATTTAAAGTTAAATATTATTAATGATCATTTAGAGTATCACAAATTAGAGTCGATTGAATATTGAATTTCATAAAAAATAAAAATTCATTAAATAGTAATTTAAAATATAAAATAAAAAAAGATCATGTTGATTGTTCTACCTACCACTTTAAATCAAATCAGTTTAAGGTAAGTGTCAAAAGTCTTTGGATTGGTGTCTCCTAAGAGAAAGTTCCATCCAACTACCCACCCACTTATTATTGTCATTATTTTAATACTAGCAACATATTTTTCTCCATACACCTTTCAATACTTTTTCATGTATTTATTAAAACTTATGTAAATTTTAATTAATAAAATACTTATTAAAATATGTAAGTTATAAAATATCTTCTAAAAGCTTTTATTAATAATAATAATAATAATAATAATAATAATAATAATAATAATAATAATAATTATTATTATTATTATTATTATTATTATTATTATTATTATTATTATTATTATTATTATTATTATTATTATTATTATTATTATTATTATTATTATTATTATAGTTCAATAATTCAATGATTGAAAATTTAGCTTTTAAAAGTGAATAACTACATTGCATGCTGAAATTGATGAATTGGATTAACTGAGTTATTATTATTAAAATATCTATTTATTTTATCATAATCCTCTTAAAAAATATGTTAAAAGATTAACACATGATTCTCATTATTTTTCTCATATAAATACATAATTTTACGAAATTCATATAATTTAATAATATAAAATAATATGTATTGAAATATGTTGCTAGTTATTATTATTATTATTATTATTATTATTATTATTATTATTATTATTATTATTATTATTATTATTATTATTATGTCAAAACTTAATCACCATTTTTGAATTGTACCTAATTTTGTTTTTTTGAGTTAAACCTTACTTCTTTTATTTTTATTGTAATTTTATTTTGACTCTCGTATAAATATTTAAAAACGTATTTAATTGATATGTACAGTGTAAAGATATTTTATATTTATAAATTTTGTGTAAAAAAATTTGTCAATTAATCATAGTATTTGTTAAATTTATATAAATATTTGAATTTTATTTTATTTACATTTAAAATATCATTTATAAATAATTATCATGCACCGATCATATAAAACATATATTAAATCAACAATACGTAATAATTAATCTTTTAAAAAAATTATGATTATTATATAAAAAATATCATAAAATTGTTCTCTATTAATAACACACAAAAAATTAAATTTAAAGAGTTAAAAAAGAAAATAATTAATAATTAATATAATAGTAAAAAGTAAAATAATAATTTATTAAGAACATCTTTAGTAAGAGTATCTTAAGTGGGTAAATTAAAATATTTTTTGTGGCCCAAAGTGATTTGTAGGATTTAAAAAATTTATAGTTGATTTGAGTTATTTTTACTTGAATGATAGTTGATTATAAAAAACTAAAACTTAATCCTATATTTTATATTTTTTAATTGTAATTATTTTTTTATTAAATTTACTATTAATTTAAATTTTTTAAATAATAATATTATATGTTTCAAAATAAATAGTATACGTTAGTTATATAATTGCTTGAAATTAAAAGTTAGTGAATTAAATGCCATGTCATAGTCCCTCCAATGCAAATTCTTTATAATTATCGTTAACTATAAAAAAAATTAACTATTAAAAATTTGCATTAAAGATGCTCTAACATCGTAAAATAATTTATAATTTAATATAATTTTTTTAGATAGATCAATTAGATCAGTTGGTAGGTGTATAGAGACATCAATATAAAATAAATAAATAAATAATATTTCACTTTTAAAAAGTTAAAATTTCAACTATAAACTACTAGATCAAATAAATAAATAAATAATTTTTACAATGTATTTTATAATATAGAAGTAATGATTGACATATTTTAACTTTTAAAAAATGATTTTTTTATAAAAAAATTTAAAAGTGAATTTTATAAAGTCAATTTTAAAATATTACAATTTTCTTTTATATTTGTTTTTTTAAGTTGAAAGATTAATTTTGACATTGTATAATATAAACATATATTATTGAAAATCAAAATATAATTGAAATCACACCTTTTCCAAATAGTTGTATTTCAAAAATAATTTTTATAAAAAATTATTTAAAATAATTTTATTAAATAGTTTTTTAAAATTTTAATACTAAAAAAATTCAATAAAATGAAAATATATCTAAAATAATATTTTATAAATAATTATTCAAATCAAATTCTCATTTGAAATTTAGTTTACTCCCATTAAGATAAAACCCTAATCACCCTTAAAAAACGTAATCAGTATCACTTTCAACCCTTCCCTTCCCTCCAATTAATTAGAATTTTGTTTCTCTCACAACAATCAGAGCCTATATTCCAGGTCATTGCTCTATTCACTTCTTTGAACTTTTCAATTTTCTTTTCATGTAATGGTTCCATAGATATTTAGAGTTAATTATTTCATAAACCATGTTCATGTTCCACTATGTCTATTGTTTCTTTCTATTTGATTTTATTTCTTGTTCATAAATTCTCTTTCATAGTTTTAAGATTAATAATGCTAGGGTTTAATTCAAGACTTTTGTAGTTACATAATAAATATACAAATTCAATTATTTTATTATTTAAGCTTGTAAATGATTGATTCAGAAAACGCATATGAAAAAAAAGAGCTATTGTGGAATGTTTTAGAAAAGAAAAGAGTTTTTTTTTTGTTTTACGTTTGAGAAATCAAGGATATGTATGTTTAATTATGTGCTAAAATTTTCAAACTTTGTGACTTTTTAGATATATTGAGTCATGAGTGGCACTTCAAAGCAACAACCGGGTGATGGTGGCAAAAGTCCACAGTGTAGCCGGTCAGTATTACCAGAGGAAGAAGCTGATCAAATAGTTAACTCGGGTGGAGGAGAAGTTGCTCTAAAGAAAGGTATCGAAGCTGATCAAACAGTTAATGCGGGTGGAGGAGAAGTTGCTCTTAAGAAAGGTAGCACTTCAACGCGAAAACGTAAAGTGTCATCATTATCAAGTGGCAGTGATGTTGGTAAAAGGTCAAAGCTTAGCCGATCAATATTACCGGAGGAAGAAGCTGATCAAAGAGATAATGCCGGTGAAGGAGAAGTTGCTCTAAAGAAAGGTCCGTGGACAAAGGAAGAGGATGAAAATTTGAAAGATCATATCAAAAAGCATGGAGAGGGAAACTGTAAAGCAGTCCAAAAGGAATCAGGACTTGCTCGCTGTGGGAAAAGCTGTCGTCTCCGATGGTCAAATCACTTGAGGCCAGGAGTGAAAAAAGGTTCGTTTACTGCCGAAGAAGAACGCCTAATCATTGAGTGCCACTTTCTGATGGGAAACAAGTGGGCTCATATGGCTACATTGGTATATCTAATAACTTAGCTTTGTTTGTGTATATTATGTTAATGTTAATGTGTAGATGATATCCTGCATTGGTTTCTTGTGGAATATAATACCATTTTTCTCAAAATGAATGCATCTTCAAATGATGATTTGAATAAATCTTACTTTTGATCATCAAGTTATTGTTCCGGGACAATATTACTTAAATGTGTTATGTTACTGAGCTTGTTATTTACATGTTCTGTCGAGTATATTTGCCTTGCTTAGTCCTCTTTCTTTTCTTTTCAGTTTCCTAGACGTACAGATAATGAGATAAGGAACTTTTGGTACACAATATCTAAGAAACGGAAACGAGATGGCTTACCAATCTATCCTGACGAGATAACATCCAAATATTCGTTAAATGACAGTCAAGAAAGTGCTGACACATTGCCAAATGAATCCAACCAGAATGATGAAACAGAAACCTTCAACTTGGATATATCTGACTTGGACCTTAAATATTACAAATTCCGCCCAGATATGGTGCCACCACTTTTTGATTCTCAAGATTACAAACCAATTAGCGACTTGGTTAGACAGTGCTCAGATTCGTCTCATAATACCTTATACATGCCTAGTGCAGTAGTTCAACAAAGATATAGTAGCAGGAATGCTGCTGTCCCGGAAGTGTTTGATCAGTATGGACAATACCCTATGTTGTCTACTTCATGTGATCTGATTCTTAACACCAACCTTCTTCATGGATATGATAACCCTATAACTGGTTTTAATTCCGCGTCAAATATCTCTTTTTCTGACCCCATATATGGGTCCATGAATTTTGAGCCCCCTTCATTCTAAAATTCACAGACTCAACAGCCTACCTGGAGCGACATGGATGTGCCGCCACTTCCCTCATTTGAGTATGTTGACACGCCAGTTCAGGCTCCTCCAATTGAGTCTTGTCCGCCAGTTCCAGATTCTCCGGATTGGGGTCATTTAATTGATGCAATAGAACTTCCCTTATTTGAGTATGTTGACATGCCAGTTCAGGTTCCTCCAATTGAGTCTTGTCCGCCAGTTCCAGATTCTCCGGATTGCTGTCATTTAATTGGTCAAATAGATTATGATCACGATGCTATAGTTGCTAACCAATTAAACTTCTTAAGACAGGTCCGCTCAGAAATTAAAAACACTCAGCGTTATTATATTAATCATGGTGCATTCAATGATCAGCTTCCAGCTTATTATACTTCCAACAAAAAGATAATTTGAATCAGAAAGATTTGGCATTGTGATTGATCCTAAATGATGATCAGTATGTTGTTGTAACTTATATATTCGGCTATTCACTCAATTTCTGTTCCGGTTAACATTCGACATCTTATGATTAGAGTTTTTCTTTTTTCATTTGTCTAAGTCTGAGATTTCAATTTGTCGAATGTTATGAACGTGGTGTGTCCATTATATATTGTGTTGTTGGTTATCTCTTTATATGATATTGTTTTTCTTAATGGTTAGCCGCATTGTGTTTGATTAGGTAACTGTAATTCGTTTATAGATTTTGTTATGTGTTTGATTAGGTAACTGTAATGGTCAAAATATTTCCTCCAAAATTCTTTTTAATTTCTTTTGTTGTTGAAATAAAAGGGGCAAGTCTCAAAGCACGCAGAAAAAACAACATCTATCAGATTTGTCAATGCATACATAATATGCATTATAATAAAAATAGTAAACCAATTGTTAACTTCACAAATATTCTCACAAAGGTTGCTAATCAACTTAAGTACTCAACACATGTTCTAAGAGAATTGTTTTGGAAAACATAAAAAGAAGTTGTATCTTAAAATACAAATTAAATACTTTTTAAACTAACAAATATGATCTATTTCGATTCTTCAAACAGGTAAAAACAAAATAAGGAAATAAAGTAAGATATATATAGGGACCGTATAGTATCTAATAAATTTATATTGTATAATGACATCTAAGATATATAAAACAAATTATGAATTTGACTCATCTCCGACAAAGACGTATTTTACCTGTTCATTCTAAGACACACGGAAATAGTCCAACACCTGGTTCACTTGAGTAAGATTGTGTCACTCTACTTCCTGAAATATAATTCTATCTAATTAGAATGTTACTTTCAAATCCAAGAAGTTTGAATGTTATTTTATTTAATAAAAAATTATAGTCCAAACAGTGAAATTAAACAAAAGTATGACATTTATAGGCTCAACAAAGCACTCACACCAAAAGTAGTTCAATAATTACTTTAAACTAAAAGATATGTAACAAAATAACCTAAAAAAACATCAGATTCCCTGGTGTTACGTATCAGAGCAACTACATTAGTAGACTCGATAGATAGCAATAAGAGGTACATCTCCAATTACTCGAGTGCCTGATTGTCTATACTCTGGAGGAGCGCAGACACAACAAACACAAAAGGGGTGAGAAATTCATTCGTATAATAAACGGTGTATAATAATTAAGAGAGTAGTATTTATACACACAAATCACATTCACATTATCACCACAACAAATGCACAAGCACAACATAATTACAATGCAATGAGATACGACAATATTACACGATGTATGTGGTACCAATTCTCATCATACGAACCTGATTCCCCCTTCGGAATCCCGAACTCCCCCTTCTGAGTTTTGGATAAGTTTTTCGTCCCCCTTCGGACCTATGACTTATCTCTTTCAATATATCTACAATGAATGCATGGCATGGTGTTGCACCATAGAATTTTCCCTCTATTTTTCAAACATTAATTGGCTTATTGCTTTGCTTTCGTATACATTTCCATTAGGTCATGACATTCACGATCCTGCATTTCCATTAGCACTCCAAAGTGCTTTTGCCCCCTCCTGTTCACAATAAGGCTTGGGCCTATGAGCATCCACCATAAAGCCCAACATTGTTGTTTGCACCCGTTAATTTATACTGCTGAACCTCCCTGCTTGATTAATCCATGTTTGTTTGTTTAAGTTTTTTCATGATGATTCTTAGGATGATTTTTTATGTTTGCTCTTATTTTTCATAGTTTTTCTTGAATATTTTTTCATGACTTTTTTTGAATTAATTTTCGTGGCTTGTGGATTAGTTTTAATGATGACTTGTCTTGGATTAAATTTTGATAAAAGTTTTGATGATAAACATGAAATTCGTGATGCCTTATCTTAAAATTCTTGATGCCATGAAATCCTTGATTCCCTATCTTCATTAATTCTTGAGGCCTTGATTAATTCTTTATGCTTTGGTTGTGATTAATCATTGTCTTGTTGATTAGTATAATCTTGATGTATGTCGTGTGCTTGATACTTTGACATGAGTTTCTCCTTGTACTTGAACCTCGTTTCATATTTGATTTTTCCTTGATGATTGAGATGATTCATGTTTACTGGTTGGTTACTTTGTGCTCATATGTTTCCTTAGAGATTCCTAGTTCAACTTAATTTTTGATTAAGTTTGAATTAGGAATTTAGGATAGACATTAGACTCTTAAACCATGCATGACAACATTAGGATATAATTCTCTTCTAATCCTAACCTTAGGGCCATTTTTCATGATAACATGTAGGACCAAGTTCCCCTTAAACCTTATGTGCGTCTTTCTCTTATCTCTCTAAAGTCAAATCAAAACACATAATAAATAAATGAGTATTTTGCGTCACGAGTCTTAAGTACATGGAAAATGATGAGTGAAAGTCTCTCCTTACTTCTTCTAGAGTGCTTGATATACGTCTCGTTTCGGGGAGATCTTGCAAAGCATTTGTTCCTATGTCATAGACTTTAGTGCAATACACACCTCAAATAAAGTCAATTTATTTCTTTAAAATCTTTGAACAAATTTAAATCATTTTGTCCTTTGGTATTTTCCTTCAAATATCATAGATGCCACAGTGGATATATTGGCTGCTACTATGCATGAACTGCACATTCACTCTGTTACTATCCCACTGAATCCAAATTCTACCATTTGTATGGTCTTTATAATTGTCAATGTGATTATCATATATCATCAGTTTCTCTCGAATGGTCTTGGCTTTAGCTTCTTTAACTCTAGTTTCAATCAAAATAATAATAGTAGGCTTTAGTTCTTGGAGACGGGACCGAATCTCACGAATTTTGCCTACTTTATTGAGTCCCCTTATGTTCCATGAGACTAACATGGTTCAGGGTTTATGTTCACTTGATGGTCATTCAAAACCTCAAGTGCATCAAAACCATTGTTACAGTTGATGTTGTTGTAAGTATCAGTCATGATGTTTTTACCTTTATCTCGTACAGACTTCCGTGCTCTTGTCCAAGAATCCCTTCCTGTTCCTGTTGGCTTCTCTCTTTCTGGTGATATAACAGGTGTTATATTCGTGGAAGTTTTGGGTGGCTTAACAGGCGTTGTGTTCGTGGGAATTTCTGGTGGCTTGAGTTTTGGTTTCCATTGTTGTTTCTTCCCTCGATCTTCACATTTATGCCCCATTTTTTGACATGTTTCACAGAATGTTGGTCTCCATTCATACTTCACAGGCTGCATCATTATATCGCCTTCAACATTTCTAATGGCTATTTCATTAGTCAAGGGTTGTGTAATGTCTACCTCAATCAATAGTCTTGCATATGAGACACGAAGCTTATTTGCAGTGTATTCATCAGTCACCAACAGTTTTCCAATAGCACTTCCTATTTTGCTGAGACTTTTGGCCCCCCATAGATGTAGGGGAAGTTGGGGAAGTTTGATCCAAATTGGTAAAGTTCTTAGCAGATCCTTCTTTAAGTTGAAACTAGTGTGCCATTCCTTCAATATCACGGGCATGTTCCGAATCGTGTATGGGCCTTTCATCATGACTGCTTCCTTGTCTTCTTGGGAGTTAAATCTGAGCAGAAAATAGTCGTCGTCGTGGTAATACAAATCTGACATCTTCACGAAATTCCACATTCTCTGCATAAAGTTCTTCACCATGTTCATACTCAGGTCGCCCCCACCACATAAAAGATTAGAGCATTATCCCAAAATTGTATTTCCGTTTCGATATCTTCTTGTTCAATAATATCAATTTCAATCACTCCATTGACGATCTTTGGCACAACGTACTCTATTGCCATTCCTTTTGCAGGGTTCCGGTTGTCATTGATAACATCAACCCATGGTTTACGCTCTTCAGGTTGTGGTTGTGTCGGTTCTGTTAGGGTTTTCTTGTTCTCCTTCGCCACTGTGTTTGTCATATCTTTGTCTTCTTCAGCGGTAGTTCTTGGTTCAATCTCAGGGGTCTGAACATTAACAGGGGATTCATGCTCAGGTGTCTTCAAGCCAATGAGAATTTCCAGTGACGGTGGTACCGTGGTTTTCGACCGCCCCCGTCCCCTCTTCTTCTCCATAATATTATCCACTTTTATAATAATAATAATAATAATAATAATAATAATAATAATAATAATAATAATAATAATAATAATAATAATAATAATAATAATAATAATAATAATAATAATAATAATTATTATTATTATTATTATTATTATTATTTTAGTTCAATAATTCAATTATTGAAATTTTAGCTTTTAAAAGTGAATAACTACATTGCATGTTGAAACTCACGCCCCATTAGGCCATTAGTACCAACTGAAATTGATGAATTGGATTAACTGAGTTATTATTATTAAAATATCTATTTATTTTATCATAATCCTCTTAAAAATTATGTTAAAAGATTATCACATGATTCTCATTATTTTTTTCATATAAATACATAATTTTATGAAATTCACATAATTTAATAATATAAATTAATATGTATTGAAATATGTTGCTAATTATTATTATTATTATTATTATTATTATTATTATTATTATTATTATTATTATTATTATTATTATTATTATTATTATTATTATTATTATTATTATTATTATTATTATTATTATTATTATTATTATTATTATTATTATTATTATTATTATTATTATTATGTCAAAACTTAATCACCACTTTTGAGTTGTACCTAAATTTTTTTTTTGAATTAAACCTTACTTCTTTTATTTTAATTTTATTTTGACTCTTATATAAATATTTAAAAACATATTTAATTGATATGTACAGTGTAAAGATATTTTATATTTATAAATTTTGTGTAAAAATATTTGTCAATTAATCATAGTATTTGTTAAATTCATATAAATATTTAAATTTTATTTTATTTATATTTAAAATATCATTTATAAATAATTATCATGCATCGATCATATAAAACATATATTAAATCAACAATGCGTAATAATTAATTTTTTTAAAAAATTATTATTATTATATAAAAAATATCATAAAATTGTTCTCTATTAATAACACAAAAAAAATTAAAGAGTTAAAAAAGAAAATAATTAATAATTAATATAATAGTAAAAATTAAAATAATAACTTATTAACATCGTAAAACAATTTATAATTTAATATAATTTTTGTAAACTTATTCTATTAAATTAGATTAATTAGATCAGTTAGTAGGTGTACAGAGACATCAATATAAATTAAATAAATAATATTTCACTTTTAAAAAGTTGAAATTTCAACTATAAACTACTAGATCAAATGAATAAATAAATAATTTTTACAATGTATTTTATAATATAAAAGTAATGATTGACATGTTTTAACTAAAAATAAATGTTTTATAAAAAAATTTAAAAGTGAATTTTATAAAGTCGATTTTAAAAAATTACGATTTTCTTTGATATTTGTTTTTTTTAAAGTGAATTTTATAAAGTCGATTTTAAAATATAATTGAAATCACACCTTTTCCAAAGAGTTGTATTTCAAAAATAATTTTTATGAAAAATTATTAAATAATTTTATTAAATAATTTTTAAAATTTTAATACTAAAAAAATTCAATAAAATGAAAATATATCTAAAATAATATTTTATAAATAATTATTCAAATCAAATTCTCATTTGAAATTTTTATAAAAAATTTATTTATTAAACTTTTCTTTATGAAATTATTTCATACTATAAAAATTATTTAAAAAAAAAACAATATTATATTAAAAAAGCTCTCTTTTTGAGTTGAATCCTTCACTCACCAACTACCGTTACCTCACCACACAACTAACAGCCGCCAAACCAAACACAATGCTCTTACGTTTCACTTTTTTTTTTTTTTTTTGCTTTTTCTATGTTTTCTCCTTAAAACCCTTTTTAATTTTTATTGTTCACGTTTCTTTCCCATTTTTTGTTGTTTGTTTCTCTCTGGTTTCAATAATGGAGTCTAAGCTTCTGAAACCTACGTCTTTTTACAAACCTTCAACACCCTTTTCTTCTTTTCATCTAACAACTCGAGGGTCTTCTTTTTCATTCAACCCCATTTCATCTTTTCCCCAAAAATCCAATCTTTCTCTTAAGGTGCAAGCTGCTGCTATTGGGTGAGTATTCTCTGTATTTTCTATTTTTGATGTTACACTCTTTCAATTCTTCATTTTTCATGTCATGTTTGTATAATTTCTCTTTTTGTGGCTGCAATATTAACATTTTTGGTTAGTTCATTTATGTTTTCTTAGTTTTTTTTATTTTAAATATCTGCGCCGTATGGTCCCGCCGCAATCCTTGATATTATGGAAAATTATGGCTCGAAGAGCCTCTCGTTACGTCGTGATCCTTGATATTGCTGAAAATCATGGTGAATTATGGCTCAAAGAGCCTCTCGTCCCGTCACAATCCTTGATATTGCAGAAAATCGTGGTGTATTATGGCTCGAAGAGCCTGTTGTATCGTCGCGATTCTTGATATCGCGGAAAGTCATGGTGAATTATGGCTCAGAGAGCCTCAACTGGGTCTGCCTTGCGGTTTCAACAACATAAAAACATAAGTTTCTCTATAATGTCATTAAATATTCAATTGGAATTTAATCACATTTGTATTTTAACTCATTCATCTATTTAAATATAGGTTAAATTACTAATCGAAATACATTCATATGGAATAGGCTTTTAAGGAGACTTTCGAAAAGATCATACTCAAGACCAAAACTAAATCTATGACCGACTATTGGCTAGATTTAAGCCCAAAAGCTTTTTACTAGAATTAGGCCGGAAAAAGTCTAGCTCAGTTCATCCTATTTCTAGCTCTAGTTGCAGAGTAACGCAGTTAAGTCACAATTTTGATATTGATTGCTTAAAGTTTTATAACTATCCTATTTCGTTTGTGTAGATCGGTGCCAATAAAGAAAAGGATTGATGGGAGTGAAAATTTGACGCTTGATCATATAAGACATTCTTTGATTCGTCAAGAGGATAGCATTATCTTTTCCCTCTTGGAGCGAGCGCAATACTGCTACAATAAAGAAACTTATGACCCTGATGCTTTCTCCATGGATGGATTTCACGGCTCTTTGGTAGAATACATGGTCAAGGAAACTGAGAAGCTTCATGCCATGGTATGGACTTAACCCTTAAAACCAATAATCAAACCGTATTGTCAAATAGCAAATATAGCGTAACTGAACAAACTTTTATTGTTTATGATATGCATTCCTTTATTGGTTTTATCACATTTTGAAGGTTGGTAGGTACAAGAGCCCGGATGAACATCCATTCTTTCCCGATGGTCTACCTGAACCGTTGTTACCGCCTTTGCAATACCCTCAGGTAAGTAAATATCATTCCTTCAACAACTGAAGTTGTTTTCTGTAATAATTTAGCGGCGAAACGGCAAGTCCTCAGGAATTGGTTCTTCATTGAATTTTCTTTGTTAATGTGTGAATAGGTGTTGCACCCTATTGCAGAATCGATAAATATAAATGGTAATGTATGGAGTGTATACTTCAGAAATCTGATCCCGCAATTAGTCAAGGAAGGAGACGATGGTAATTACGGATCCTCTGCTGTTTGTGATGTAATGTGCTTGCAGGTACATATTTTTACTTTTCTTTTAATCTGTATCTTAAAAAATTAAGGCTAAGTTTGGATAAACAACTTAATTAAGCACTAATAGCATATGTGTTTATCACATTAGTGCTTGTGTTTGTGTCAATAACAAGATATGTCAATTACAAAAAATTAAATGAAGTCAAACTATTTTTATATAAGTTATAAACCTTTTTTGCAAGTTATAATGAAGAGTCCATGAAAATAAGCTGAAAACAGCTTATGAACACGTTCTTACATTGCAGAAAACTTATGATTTGTTGCTACTGTAGGCTCTTTCGAAAAGAATCCATTATGGAAAATTTGTAGCTGAGGCAAAATTTCAAGCTGCTCCAGATTCGTATAAAGCTGCTATTATAGCACAGGTACAAATACCTCTCGAGTATGCCTACTTTTTGTTTCAGTTTGTCATCAAATTGCACGTTTATAAGCACTGTTTCTGGTTTCATTTTTATTTTTGTGATATAAGTTTATAAGCTGTGGATTTGTTCGCATTATCGATTATCTTTTACCTTGATGACTTTTGCAGGACAAGGAGAAATTGATGGAAATGCTAACATATCCTGAAGTTGAAGAAGCAATCAAGAGGAGAGTAGAGATGAAAGCCAAGACTTATGGACAAGAAGTGATTATAAATATGGAAGAACAAAAAAGTGAGCCTGTGTACAAAATAAATCCAAGCTTGGTTGCTGATTTATATAGTGATTGGATCATGCCATTGACAAAAGAAGTTCAAGTTGCATACTTATTAAGGAAGCTGGATTGAACATTGTTTATTTTCCATGTAATGATGCTTGCAATGAACCTATGTAACACAGCCTTTAAATTGAAGGCGTGTGTCCATTGTCTGAAATGTATGTGATTACATTCAATTCCTTTCATTTTCTCTGATTATTATTCGTATAGTATTGTCTTGTGGATGTGCATGTGTTAGTGCTTTTAGCATATGTAATTAACATATGAAGAAGTTGATATTGATTTCTTATACAATTCATTACTATAATAAAAAAAGGAAATGGTTTAAGGTGTGATTGATTTTTATTTTATTTTTCTTAATTGTTTCATTACATTAAAAACTCCATATGATAGCTTTGCTATGTGTAGCCGGTCTCGAGCGGGTTGTGTTAGGCGGTCGACAGAAACTTTGTTGAATCTTTATGACATGGATCAACTACGAAATAATGTGAATGCTAGGTCGTTGTCCGTAAGCAACACATTGTATGACTCGAGTACAATGTCAAAAGAGCAAGAGTCATTGCATCGCCGCCTGGATGTAGTGAAAAATAAACAAGGGTTCTGACACTTTTGTGAACGAGTGTGGATAAAGAAGTTAGTTCATGAAAGTAGGATTCGTTCTGGATCATGGAATATAGGCATACTTACTAAAAAATCTACGGAAATAGTGGATACTATGTTAAGGAGGAAGATCGACAAGAAACTCTTTACGGGTAGGTGAAAAGGCGAGGGAATTAGAAACTTGAGATTTAAGCTTTGGTGCATCAAAAAAGTTAGATCGAGAAATAAAGTGGGGAATCTTGTGGACAAGGAGTGAAAGAAGGATATTATAGATGTGAAAAGAGCAGGAGATCAAATCATAGCATTGAAATTTGTAGTGGAGCAAGACATCTTTAATGTTATTTGTGCTTATGCACCTCACGTTGGGTTGGAAGAACAACTTAAGGTAAAATTTTGGAAGGATTTAGAAGTATTACTTCAAGATATATCCTAAGGAGAGAAGCTCTTTCTAGGAGGAAATCTAAATGGACATGTAGAAAGCGTAGCAAGAGGGTTTGAGAGCGTACACGGGGGTAAGACCTCAGGGAGGTAAATGCATAAGGTAAGTCTATCTTAGAGTTTTCGTCGGCCTTTGATCTTACTATAGCTAATACCTGATTTAAAAAAAGGGGTGAACATCTTATCACATATAAGAGTGGGGTGACATATTCTCAGATATATTTCTTTCTTATTCGAAAGTTTGATAGGAAGATTTGCTTGAATTGCAAAGTTATTCTAAGAGAGAGCTTGACTATCCAATATATAATATTGGGTATGAATATAAGAATCAAGAGGAGAGCAAAGTTGCATTTGGGTATAACCGTTTCATTTATTTGCTTTCTAAATTCTCACCAAGATCACATTTATTTTCTATCTTGTTCTTGCTTGTTGCCTCTGTAAACTAGATTTTGCATTATTCTTATTGCATCATATTTAGTAACATGTCATTTAACCACTGTGCATACAAAACATGTTGCCTTTGCCTTTCTTTCTTTATGTGGATTAGAGTTTGCAAGAAGGTATCAAGAAAGGATCATTGCTTCAAGTCAAGTGTGTTGAGATTCTTTCAATGACCATTCATTTCATGATTCAGTTCAAGTGGGAGTTTGACATAATCTTGGTCAAACGAAATGGAATTGATTCATTTACAAGTCATCTTTGTTACAAATAATTTTGAATACAAATGTTACCAAAGTTTAAAGGCTAGGCAAAAGGGGTTTCAAGTGTGTGTTTTGGTTCAATTCAAGTGTGACATTATCATAATTTGTCTAGCAAAATTATAGTTACAACTGCCATGAATAATAAGTTACACCCATTTGCAAATACAAGAACCAAGACATACCAATTGCAAATAAAAAAAAACATTGTTCAAGCAAGTAAGGTGCGAATACCATGCAATATTCAAAGGCCAAAACAAGATACAATTCAAATACAAGCTACAAGATTCAAAACCAATATTCAAAGGCCCAAAAGCTGAAAAGCAAAGGCAATGATACAAGTAAAAAAACGCAACAGCAACACATGATTTTTTCAGAATTTTATAACTCAAATTTTCTCATAACAAACTTTCAAGACAAAAGCCTAATCTACCCTTCAATCCCTTCTCTATAAAATCATATGAAATTTACACCGCAAGGGGGACATTTTTTTCTCATCACCAAATTCACGTCATTCTTCTTATTACTCTCATTGCAAAACAACACACAACCTCACAACATCTCGCAACAATACCACAATTCACAAACAACAGGTATCTTCATTTCTATTGTGGATTCGTAATCCCTAGATTCGTGAAGTAGAGGGTGAGATTTGGTTTGAGACAACCGCAAGTTCGAACCGAGCAAAGACATGTAAGGGTTTTAGTGTTGTAGCTGCCACAACCGCTGCCGTGAGGCGTGCCGGCGCGACGGAGCTTTTTTTTTTCTTCCGGCAAATGAGTTTTCAGAAGAGAGGGGATACGCATTATAATTTATTTTTTCACGCCACCCTAGTCACAAGCACTCCCCCTCTTTCTTTTATTTCATTACCTTTTCTTTATAAATTGTTTTTTAGTTTACTATCATAGTTTTTTTTTAACTTATAATAATCCTTTTTTATTTTTCTACTTTAATTTCATTGTACAATTTCTTTTATTCAATTTTTTTTATTATGTTTGGTTGCCTTTGATTTTCACTCTTACAATCGATTGGTTAATGAAATCTTAAACATCATTGAATAATGATTCCTAAGTTGATTGAATCTTTAATACTTCAAACATGTTAATGAATGATCATTAGATCATTCTTGACACTTTGAGGTATTGATAGGTTGCCCTTTGGTTGAATCTCTTGATGATAGATGAGACTATTGTGCCGACTTGAGTTTGCTATCTAACTTCCTATTCTTCATTTATTTTCTTCTTTGATTTTAAACCATTGTGCTACATGTTTTAGGAGAATAAATTTGTGTTATTTCTATAACATGTTTGAGCACATAAATTGTTATTGACCGACTTTAGATAGGTGTGACTTCTACATAAGTCCACTTATGATTACTTAACATAGCGCTAAATTGTCCCGATGCGATTAATCGATCATTCGATCACTAACTACTAACTTCTAACTTCTAAATTTTACATTATCTCACTTTATTTTCTTGGAATTTACTTCTCGCCGTTTACTTACTGATATTTTCTTTATCGCTCTTTATCATTCACTTTACTTTATGTCATTTTTTTCTTCTGTAATTTTTATTCTTCATCTTATTAAAAAAATAAAGATATGATAAAAACTGAAAAGGACTTAAAATACTTCTGAGACATAAATGGAATTTGGACTTAATGTTTGACCGAGCTTGACATGGACAACTGGAACTATGAATGACCCTAGCATCATGAAAGTTTTAGACCTTGTACTTGACCCTAGCAAAGGAAACTTGGGCTTGCATTCTTTATTTCATTGTCTTAGCTTAGAACACCTTGCACACACACGACTTCCTCTTGAGCTACATGGAACTGAGACCCTTTATTTCTTGCATACTTCCCTTGTATTTTTCATGTATTCCTTTCCCCATTTTGGTGTATTTTCTTTACTTTTTCGCTTTCCTTTGGTTTGGATTTGCTTGCTCGATTTCCTTAGGGACAACGACCTCACCTTTTTCTCAAACTCTTGATCCAACGTCAAGTGGTATTCTCTCTTAACCCTTGTAAGTTGATTGTCTTGTGCACCGTCATCAACCAAATCTAAAGCAATTTTGATCCATACATCAAGCCATACCCAACTTGTAAGTTGATCACTTTATGCGTCGCCATCAACATATCCCATTTCAATCTTAAACCATTTTCATAATGATCTCGCAAAATAAAACCCTTGATCCAATGTCAAGCGGAATTTTCTTAATAAACTCAAAAACACTGTTAAAATATGATTATGATTGCGCGCCACGAGGCTTAAGTCGTGGAGAAGAAGTGAGAGTGGAGCTTTCCCGCTCTCACTCTAAATATTTTAGACACAAGACGTTTGGCTTGGTAGTCTGAAATATTCACCTTTGCCCATAATCTTTAGTTTTGTTCAAATAATAAACAACCACTTTTCAAAACCCTAAAATCAATACAAACACATCAAATATATCTTTTCTCTCCCCCCTCCCCCCCCCCCCCCCCCCGTGCGATCAAACACCTTTTTGGAAAGAATATTGTTTAGTCCCTTTTAATGCGCATACAAACTAGTTCTTAAGCCTCCCCCGAGAGTAGACAACCCAACGTTTAGCCCTTAAAAAGCGATTGAAACATCCGTTCATCAAAAACCACAAACCAGTAAGCCGTAGTCTCTCAAACTATGAAGTTCTGATTTCCTTATTGCATTATGAGGATAGATATGCACAGGATTGCGAGATTCTGGTGAGCAACCTTTTTTCCACCGTAGTCCTTCAAACTATGGATGCTTTGATTCCTCATTTTACAATAATGATACGTAGGTACCAGGGTCCAATCCTTGGGGAGCACCCTAATAAAAAAACCTCCCCTTTAGAGGTTTCCTTTTTTTCTTTTTTTCCTTTTTAATATTTTTACCACTTGAAGAAAACACATAAACATGAGCTAACATTCAATTGCAAATTTAACTAAGAGGTTCCCGTTGAGTACAATGGATGTGAGGGGTGCTAATACATTCCCCTTGCATAATCGACTCCCGAACTCGAATATGGTTACGACGACCATTATTTTGTTTTTCAACGGTTTTATCGATATTTTTCTATTCCTTCAATGGAATAAATAAAGTTCAGTGGCAACTCTGTTCAAACTAATTTTTCTGCGTCCATCGTGAAGTATCATATTTTTCGAGGTATGACAGAGTGTTAAAGATGAAGATGGCAAAGACTTGGTTCAGGAAAAATATATAAAGGATAGGTGGAAGACGCATTTCTACAATTTATGTAATGAAGTATATGATGTCTCACCATACTCTAGCAGACTCGACATTAGAGAAGAGGGGCGAAACTATAATTACTACCGTC